ATACTTTTATTAATTAGTGGTTTTGAAATTAGGATAAATTGAAATCTTCTTCCCTAGTTGGTGTGTATTTACTGAATGTGGCTCAAAAACAAATGACGACCACTAAACCAAACCATTACACCAGACCACACATTATTAACCTTTTTTTCCTCATACTTTTGAAAAAAATGTTTTTCGCTGGTTTTTTTATTGTCTTTTTTTCTCCTTAAGACGAAATTTATTCAAGAAAAAAATGAAAAAACAACATTAAAAAAAACACGTAAAAATAATAAATTTAAAGGATTTTCCTAGATAATGAATTTTTTTAATTTCAAATATCTAACTCTGTCAAATTCATTTCGTTTCAGTTAAACTTTAATTAGAGAATAAATGGAAAATATTTTTTCGTAAATTTCTTTCGAAAACGAAATAAAAGTAAGAATTATTTAATTTTAATTTTAATTTTTTTAATTTTAATTTTTTGAAAACGATAATAACTGCAAAAAGTGGAGATCTTTATTTGTTCTAAGCGAAATTGAAATTATTTGAATAGATTTGTTTTTATTCGATTTAAAAATAAATAAAATAATTCCATTTTTTTACTTTCATTTTAATTTAAATGAAATGTAATGTAATTTTATTGTAAATTAATAAAATTAAACAAATCAGAATAATTAGATTTCAAAATATGTACAAAAAAAATTTAATATAAATTTTCGATATTTAAGAAAAAAAAAATCACAAAAGCCCTCCTTATTATAATACAAGTTTACTTTTTTTTGAACATTCTATATCACAAGACAATGAGCTACAGACTCAAAATAAGTTTCACTAGAACATAGAAATCTCCTTAGAGGGTATTGGTGTGAGTGTGAGTGTGAGTGTAGGTGAGGGTGAAGAGGATACCAACACTCATTCATACCCCACTCTTTTCTAAAACTCCACATCAATTTTAAATGTAGTGTGTTCCGCTCGAACTCCATACCACTCTACACCTTTTTCTAAAATTCTACTCTAACTCCCTTTTAACTTCAATTCCAGTCGGATTTTACAAAGCTGAACTTCTGCCAAAATACTCTTAAATACACATAAGTTTTTGAACATAATTAAATCTACGATTCATATCAAATAGTAGCATATTAATTTATTGCTTTATAAACTTTCTCATAAAATTTAAAGATAGACACCTCCATTCTGTCCTGTTCCTACTCCATTTTCACTCTGATAAGAAAAAGCATCAACTTTGGAGTTGGAATTGCTCATCTCTGATATCAACCATTTCAAAATACTTACTCTTCAGATCCTCCTGAACATATCCATAACATGCGAGCTTACAGAAGACTTCTCAGAACAAGTACTACATAAGGATTATGGCATGATCCTGATAGAAGATACTCATTATTTTTAGATTTTCAAAGCCCATAAAATCCATAGATCCCAATGTTTGTCACTGGAGAGCTCAGTTCGGATTGACATCCATCTTTTCAGCATTTGCAAAAGTAGAAGCCCTCTCAGATTACATAGATTCGCGTGGAATCCTCTCAACTTTGTTCAATTTCGCCTGTATCCAAGCCTTCTCATGATCTTACTCAGAGTACATCACGGTTGTTCTTCGAACAGCTTCACATAACTTACCAAAAGCCTATGCAAATACTTAGGAGATTCTTCGGCAGATCTACATTCATCGTACAGAAAATCATGTATCCTTAAGGTGTCCTAAAAAACATAGGAATTAGGTTTGATATTTTGTTGTTCAACGATTCGATATTGTTCTCACAAGATGCAGATAGAATCTTCTCTGATATTCATATAAATGATCATTCTGCCAAAAAGATTCTGAATTCTTGCAATTCTGAAAAAAATCCTCAGATCCTTATGTTTTTCTATCAAAAACTTACATGGAATTAGTATTACTCTTTCTTGGAGAACCTCCTTACAACAATCTCAAGGTGTTATTTTTATGATCAAAAAGATCTTGGCAAGAACTAGAAGTAACATAGATGTAAGAATCGTTACCAAATCCTTTTTTTCTCATAAGAAACTAGGAAAAGACTTCTGAATTTTTATCTGCGAAACGAGCATTCTCAAAGATAAATGTCATATTTGTAGCGCTTACTACCACGAGAGACGAAATCTCTTCGACAACGACGATTCCTTTTCTTTTTTGTTCATTGTAGTAATTCCAAATATTCCAGCCGATGCCCGATGGAAACAAGATGGGATCACCGTTGCTGGAGGCCATGGAGAAGGCAGTGCTACCAATCAACTCAACAGGCCTCATGATCTCTTCGTTGATGATGATCAAACGATAGTCATCGCTGACTGCTACAATCGTCGTATCATCCAATGGAAGATGGGAGATAAGAATGGACAAGTTGTAGCTGGTGGCAATGGCCTAGGAAATCGATTGGATCAATTGTATTGGCCAACCGATGTGTTGATCGACAAAGAGACGGATAGTCTCATTATTTGTGACCCGAACAATCGACGAGTCGTACGATGGTCTCGTCGTAGTGGGACAACTCAAGGAGAAATCCTCATCGACAATATCAGTTGTTGTGCATTGGCCATAGATAATCAGAGATATCTATACACCTCTGACTACGAAAAACATGAAGTAAGAGGATATCAACTAGGAGCCAAGAATGGAACTCTTGTGGCTGGTGGCAATGACAAAGGTGCTAGTCTCAATCAATTCAACGAACCGAGATACATCTTTGTCGATCAACAACAGACTGTCTACGTGTCAGATTGGAACAATCATCGTGTAATGAAATGGAATAAAGGTGCAAAAGAAGGAATTGTCGTCGCTGGAGGTCAAGGCGAAGGGAATGCTCTGACACAGTTGTATCATCCTAACGGACTGTTCGTCGATACACTGGGTACCATCTATGTAGCAGACATGCTGAATGATCGAGTGATGCGTTGGCCTAAAGGAGCGAAACAGGGCACTGTCATTGTGGGTGGAAATGGTTACGGAGCAGGAGCAAATCAGTTCAACCATCCCTATGGTTTGTCTTTCGATCGACATGGCAATCTCTATGTCGTCGATTATGGGAATCATCGTATTCAACGCTTTTCAATCGAATAGACTCGTCGTGATAGATTTTTTTTGCGTTCCTTTCCTTTCAAATAAATTGCATTGAATTGATGAAATGAATGGCTTATTCTATTCGCGCACGCGCGACCAGGAACCATTCTGGTGAAGCCGTGGCGAGCGTAACGCTCATGCACGCACAGGACAGACTCATATCATTCATACCCTCCCCGCGAGAGATATGTCAATGAGTCTGAATAAGCCTGGTCGTGTGCCACGGACACCAAGACGGTTCCTGGCCGGGCTTTTAGGGACTACCCGGAAGTCCTTCATAAAAGGCGAAACTCTAACCCTCAACTGGCAGAACTCACCCTCGCCTCTCACTAACACTCACTTTTCTGAGTCTCATCCTCACCCTTCTCAATCTCAATGTCACTATCTAACCTCATCCCTCTCTCACCCCTATTCTCTTTCTCAAAAGAAAAAAAGAAATAATTACTCACGTGTTCGAATGTTGGACGATGATAAAGAAGACGCGATCATGTTGAAGACTGAAAAGAAAAAGAAAAAGAAAAAAAAATTTAATTAATGTTATATTATGAGAAAATATTAGTTAACTTACTCCCTGTTATCTTTTCCTAGTTAATAATCAGAGAACCTAAAACAAAAGACAACAAAATAAAAGATGAAAAAAAATTACTTACCATCTTTAATTTCTTCATATTGATCTAAAAGAAAAAAAATTAAAAAAAAAACAATTTTTACTTACTTTCAATATTTAATGGCTAAAATAGAAAAAAACAAAGCTTAAAATAGATCGGAAGAGGACTTACTACCCTCCATGTGATCCAAAAGAAAAAAAAAAGAAAAAAACTAAAACTGATACCTACATTTTATTTTATGGCTTTGTTCGACGTTGAATTGTTCCATATTGTAGTGTTGATATTGATCTAAAACATAAAAGAAAAGAATTAGTGTTTATGATTCAACAAATTGAATGATTTCACATAGAGAATCATTCATATTTATACTCCAAAAAAGTTATGGGGAGAGAAAATCATTCAATTTTTTTTAATGGATGTATGATTAAAAGATGAATTTCATTAAGCTTTAATCGGGACACACAGATACATTGAGATAAAATTCAATTACAACGATCTTAATGTATGAGTGTGGATAAAGCTTAATTGATATACATATTAATTATGCAATGTTATCATTGATCATCAATGATAACATGAACGACGACTTATGGACGAGAGAAGACAAAAAAGAAAATTATTCTCTTGACCTTTTTCTTTTTCTCTCACTTTTACATTTTCAATATGTGTACAGAATAGACGAACACGCAGGCACACTCACATGTAAGGTATGTTGTCATTTGTTATGTTGTTTTTCTTTTAGAGTCTGTTGAGTTACTTGTGAAAATATTTTGTTGTTGATAGGCTCGAACAATGTTATTATGGCAAAAATTAGATTTGCAGAAAAGATCATGAAATGGCCCAGTCTCAAAGATTCGATATTTTTCAAAGATTTTACTCGTCATACACTTAAGAAAAAAATCTATGTATACTTCTTCGACAAACATTGTTTGATTGTTCGATACAATAGCAAAGTCTGAATACGAACTCGCTTCTCAACAATCAAACAATAGTTTTCAAAAAGAATACGTAATTTTTTTTCTTATTTAGCAGTCGAATAAAATCATAAAAAAAATTATCGAGCTTAACGAGATTGAATGCCTGCGGCCTTTTCAGTTTTCATAGACAATTATGGAATTCTTCTCGCACTAAACTATTGGGCACTGTTGTTGAATTTTAATTGCAACAGGGATGAACTAGTTTAATTTCCTTGCGTTACATTAACTCATTTATACACAGCGTTACTTTTATTTTCGGATGAACTACTTTTTTAATTCGAATATTGTTTTTCATATAACTTTTATTTTTTTCTAATAGATTTTAGAAAATTTTCTGCTAAAACAATGGAAGCGATTTATATATTACATGAAAAAGATATGGATGCTCGTTTTTATGTTTATCTTAGGGTAATTTCATTTTATTGAATAGATAATGTAAAAAATAAAAAATAATTTCGAATGGATTCATAAACATAAAGCTCAATTACGTAGACAACATTAGCTGCATTTAATGATACGACCTATTAAATGTTTACTTAAATATACATCAACAGCATATATTGATTATCAATTATTAATTGATTTATTGGATTAATAGTATTGAGATTTGTCTAGTAAGAAAGTGATTCCGACAGTATTAAGTACATTTTGTTGTTATTGTTAAATTTTTGGTCAGAGTTCCTTGTTATACATCGTGATTATATAGAAAAATTTCAAGTTATTGAACTTTCACAAGAATTAGCAACAGCACGAACACATTTAATCGTTTCTTTTCTTCAATTGTCTTGAATATATGTGAAGAACACCTAGTATGAAAACATTTTACTTATTCAATTAAGGAATATTCAAAGTTTATTTGATATTCAACTATTATCATTAACAATTGATGGTAAAATTATTGACAGTTTTTATTTCGAAGGAAAATAGAGTGAGTGTAAGTTTTAGAGATATGCTAGACGAAAATTTGGACGTTTGCTGAATTCTTACTCATCATATTTTCATTAGAATTTATTTCATATTTCTCAAGGCATCCTGATGGTGAGCGTTTATGAATAAGTCATTATAGACTTTTATCTTAAGAGTGGCAACTATGAAAGATCAGACCTGTATCCAACTAGCTCTATTGGGAACTACGAGAAAAGCAGTTGTTCCAACTACAACTGAAAGTTATAGTTAAATATTCTATGGCTTTAAGTGTATAAGTAAAAAAACATGAATATTGAAAACCTTTTTAGATGTGATAAGAGTCAATTCTGGAATAGTTTTCTCTAGACGGAAACACACCCTCATATCCTTTTTGGGAGATAATAAAGGAAACTCACCCAAAAGAAGTATAGAGACTCGAGTATGGAAAAATATGAAACTCATAGTAATTTTAAAAGCTAAAAAACGGAGTAAAATCTAATTTCTCACGCATTTCTTATGGTCTAGTAAAAACTTTTCACTTCAAGTATTCTGTATGAATATAATGAGAGTAAAGAACATATGTAATTTCTATATTTTAGTTCTTAACAAGTTGTATTGGCACAATCTCTATTTTTATTTTATAAAATTTTTCTTATTAAAGAAACTGAAAAATTCAGAATACTTTGTTCAATTGAAGGTCAAACATGTCAGTATATATTTCGTGTTATTAATGAAAATACAAATACTAGTAGTCATAGTTCTAAATCTTATTTTACTGATTCAATATCTTCACTATTATCGATTCCAATATTATCGAATAGTACTCATCATCATGGAAATAATAGAACTTATGTACTTTATCAGTTAGCTAAAGCGATTCTCGTAATGTACAATTTTTATTTTAGTCTTCACTTATGCAAACATCACTTGAGAATTTAGACATTGGTTCAGATTTACGTTCAATTAATTGTCTAAATTTATTAGACTTCGCATTTGAACGGTTTGAAAATTTTCATTTTTTTTTAAATTAATTAATGTTGAAATTTCAGTGGTCTTCATAGAGCGAAGAAACGATTAAGTCTAGCTATTCCATTCAGTCCATGATTCAAGTAAATAAATGAGTGTATCATTAAGACAAGTAAGTATTTCAAATGAGAATTTCTCATAATTAAAGTAAAACATTCAGAAAATTTCGACTCATCTAACAACTGATAAAGGAATCGGAAATGCGTGTGCTCCCTAAAGTTCTGGTCTACTAGTGAAACTCATCGTGATATCTCATTAGTATCAGAAATAGCCAGAAGAGAAGATATCGTACCAGCGACTAGTGCTTCAATAGAAAGATTATTTAGCTCAGCTTGATTAACATTGACTCAATGACGAATACGTTTATGATCAAGTCAAAATTTTCAAATATATTATTTATTCTTTCTTGTTGTCTACCTGTTGATATTGATTACATTTTGAATAATGAATATTTTGAGTTTTTGTTTTATTCAGCTTATGAAATAGTATGGTGACCGAATATTCTGATTGGTTTTTTCGTTGTTTTGAATTTAGTGATACTTAGGTCTGACCAAAAGTTGTGTCATCATTAAGTAAAAATATAAAGATAAGGAGATATTTTTATTTTTATTTTATCAAATGTTGAGGATAGTTGCCAGTATTATTTATTACAAGATCAATCTTTTCTAGCAATTAATAAAAAGTTTTTTTTGAACTATTTTTGTGTAAAATTTTTAGCTACCTTGGTAACCGCATGAACACATCATATTTCATTTATTTAATCGGTTAGACTACGTCCGACACAATCACTTAAGCATAGATTACATAGTATCAGGTCTGAGAAATATGATAGATGTGACATTATATTGATGTCTCCTTCTGTCAAATAATTAATAAAATTGGACGAGTATGAAGTCAACGATGATCGTCAAGTAATTTTGAACATTTTGAATCTGATGTCTTTGTTTGTTTTCATATTATATTACCAAAAGGCGTCAGACACTTTTCAATATAATACTTGTAACCTACAGCCTCGCCTTTATCTACATTCAGGACTATTTGATTTAAAGAATATACGAAACAAAGTTTTGATTCAAATCTGTCTCCATGAGCAATAGTCTTTGACGATTCATCTTCAATATGCCAGCTAGCATTAGATGACTTATAACTAACCTATCTAAAATAAATCCATATCGCATCACTAGTAATGTTACAACGCAACTGACATAATCGAACAAAATTTCGCTAAATTTTTAAAACGAATGAAACATGATTAGTTCATACAGTTTTCAAGGTAGCTAAAAAGTTTTTCAGAAAAAGAATTCAAAAAAAGCTTTTAATTAACTGTTAGAAAAGATTGATCTTGGAATAAATAATACTGGCAACTATGCTAACATTTGAAAAAATAAAATTAAAAATATCTCCTTATCTTTATATTGTTATTTAACGATGTCAAAACTTTTGGTCAGACCTAAGTATATTAAATCATGAGAAAAACGAACGAAATAAGAACCATTGTTTGGTTCAATGAGCGTAGCTACGAGGAAAATAAAAGTGACTTCTACTGAATTACTTTTAAAGTAATTCAAAACTAGCTTTATTGAAGCCCAAAAGGAAATTTAATAGATGAACAATTCAATAATTATTCCTTCATGTAGTGGTGAGTTAAGCTTGCATTAATTGATGTTTGCACTAAACAAAATCAATATTTTCATCATTCATAACTTGTTTAAATTGATGATGCAACAGATTTTCAGTCTTTTTTCTGCTATGTAAATATATAATTAGATAAGAAATTCTATAGAACTAACTTCATGCTATAAAGTTAGGTCTTGAGTTGAAAAAGAAAAGAATGAGCCGAATAAAATTTTTGTATCGATTTCAGTTAGAAGTTGTTTCAAACATCTACTTCTATTATGGAATGTTTAAATTAGAAATAACTCATGAACAAATATTTTCGAAATTTATTGCTTTCCCTAATAAATATCTAAAACAGGAAGGAATATTTTATTATAACTCTTTACAGTAGAAGTCATGCTGAAATAAATACCTTCATAAGAAAAATTAGTATAAAGTACCTGTAAGAATCCTTCATTTTTCTTTGATGTCATTTGTATGTCAAATTTAGTATAATAGTTTTGGTGCAAGAAAGTACTCGGTACTTATCTCAAGAAAAATCTTAGTATTCTTTGAGGAAAGAACTCTAAATGTTTTGCTATTCTCGAAGAAAAGTGAAACTTTTTCCTCATTTTGAACAGTCGCAATCTGCAAAAG